TCCCCAGTTTTATATTTCATATTTTCAGGTTATTCAGAATATTAAGTTGAAGTATAAACAAAATCCATGAGACAACACTATGTGTAATGGGCGTCCTTAAGGATTTCCACAATCTGTAATTGAGTATCATTTTTTATAGAAAAATTTTCTTTCTTGTCAAGCTTTGTTTGAAGGTTATACGATTTCGAAACATATTGTGTGCAGGTTTTGTTTAAGAAAACCTAAAAGATACGTCAAAATTNAAGGATTTCCACAATCTGTAATTGAGTATCATTTTTTATAGAAAAATTTTCTTTCTTGTCAAGCTTTGTTTGAAGGTTATACGATTTCGAAACATATTGTGTGCAGGTTTTGTTTAAGAAAACCTAAAAGATACGTCAAAATTTAGTATGTTCGAAAAAGAAAGCTTTTATCTACATTGTGCTCTGAAACTATTTTTACTAGGAATTATTTTCATTGTAAAAATTAAGTCATGTACTTACTGTTGCTAAATGCGTGGATGGAAATACATGCGTACGATAGGCCTGCGCGGCCAAGTGTAGTAGGGACATGTATTTCTTATCGTTCCCTCCGAAATCGTAGATTATCGGTACTTATGATTTTTCAGTGAACGAAAACACGTCGTGCCAAGAAAGTTAATGAGTATTCGCCTATTATTAGCTCGTTACTACAGTGACTTAAAATGTAGAAACGACTATTATAAAAGCGTCTTTGCTTTAAGGAGGTTCGGTAGTGATAATTTTTTATGATAAAAATTTTTGAAATTTTGATATGTCATTTTGGATAATAGTATCAAATTACAGCCTAATTTTTGAAGGGTTTAACCACACCGTTATATTGACCTGAAAAAACAATATTTTAACATGTAGGCTTATGGAGAAATCGATTAAATTTCACATAAAAAAAAATACGGCTAAATGAACTAGCTTTTTTTTTTTTTTAAATGGAAGAATATAGTCAAAATAATATTTTGTCAAAGTTTGAGAGAGCCCTACCACAAATTTCTTTTAAAAAACAGCAAAATAGTGCTCGCAGCAGACGACTTGGCAACGCTGCTTCTGGAGCGCGCTTTGAAATGTAATGAATAGTAAAAACTCCTTTTGTAATTGAAAATTTAATTATAAAAAATTCAACCGAAGAAATAAGTACACTGTCTTCAGTAGACGACGACAACAGCAGTAGACGACAACAACAGTAGACGACGTGCCAGCAGCCAAAAAAAAATTCACAACGTTGCCAGACGCTCTCCCTCCCCTTGCCCCTCTGAGATTCCCCCCGCTAACGCTACCGAACCTCCTTAAGCATTTAACTGTGTATGTTCGTCTCTCGTGTCATTTAGTGCCAGTAGATACTCCAGCACACAACGGTGAGTTTTTGTTTTAAGCCATTATTTAGAACTTGGATTGACTTTTGCCAATAAATAAGATGTGATAAATATTTAAAGTACGTATGCATCTACGAACAAATCTCTATTCAAACAACTTGTATCTGATCCACAGAGTTACATCTAGTCCTCGAGATCGTCCAGACACATCAGTCAAAAAAATGTCCGAAAATTTCTCTGAAGAATCCAGCAGCTATGGTGAAACTTCTCAGGAAGATGTCAGCGGAGAAGACGAGCACTCTGCAAAAAGGTCTTATACGTGTCGAAAATGTGAAAAATTTTGTGAGACGGCATTATCTCTCAGAAAACACAAACGTATTCATAGGGATGAGTTACCTTTTCAATGCTCATTTTGTGATGAAAGATTTGATATGGGTGATGATCTTGATTTTCATATAAAGTATATCTGTTTCGGTTATTAATATGATGTGGCCTATTAACATGACTTATTTTTGAAGATAAATTCACCAATACTTTGTTGTTATTCTTTTTTTTTTTTACTACTATTTTTGTACGCTAAGTAAGATTAATGCGTAAATCTGTTAACTATTGTTTTTATTGTCAATACTTTTGTAATTCGTTGTAAAAAATCTGAGAACGATTTCGTTAGACGTTATCATTCAGGTGTGATATGCATTTTTGTAATTTCTATAGGTTCTGATTTATTACGTAAATAATATTTCAAAATTACAGTGTAAACTATGTCCATTATAGATACCTTTGAATTTTTTCCCTGTCAAATTTAAATCTTTTTCAAAGCCATTTTTATACACATTTTGTATGGATTTGAAAATGAATTTTACGTTAATTTTTCAACGTTTGTATTGGTTAAGCATTTATTGGAAAAAACTATTTTTAAATGCTTTTAAATTATTTTCACGCAATGGTGTAGTGTTGATATTGTTAATATACATATTGTTAACATGGTGCAGTGCATATAATTTTGTATTTTATTTTTATCAATAAATAATTAAATTCTAAATGGTTTTACAAAAATTGCATTTAAATATGTATTCAAATTTAATAAAATGCATAATGTTGTAAGTAATATTTTGTAACGAGGCAAAATGGCCTCTATATTCCAAAAGGCTCTCGCTGATGCAACGTGTATACAAAGAGCATTAATTTGACGATTCTCCGAACTGTTTGTTTTTCGGGAGCTGTATACACGCTGAGAGGAGGGGACGAGGACGCCAACGGACAAACAGCTGAGATGCAGAGACACAGCAGCGCCAGCAGAAAAGGACAACGAAAGTGCGATCGCGACTACTGAGTCACAGCAGCTGCTAAGTATGAGAGTGACTGCGAGAGGAGATACGTGGCGGCGGCCATTGCTTGAGCAGGAGAGAGAGAGAGAGAGCGAAAGAGTGTATAGCAGTGTGAGAGATTGGGGACGGAGTGTGAGTGTGCGTAGTAGTGTGAATCGAGGACAAGCAGGAGCCCCTCCTGGTCCCAGACCAGCAGGACGTGGCGGACGAGCGCTCGTGGCTCGCGGGGTGCGAGGCGAAGTCGCTGCAGCGCCGTCCAGAAGACGAGGTGAAGCATCGTATCGTGTATTGTGAAGAGAGGGAGACTGTGTATTAGTGTTAAGTGTTTAATAAAAGAAATAGTGAAAGGTATTTGTTGTGTGTAAATTAATAGTTCTTACCGTAGAACGGGAGAACTCCCGCGCCAATCCCCCTTTTTCAGGAGCAGAAACCCAAGAGGTGAGAGGGACAACGGTGACGAACGTGATCGAGATTTGCTAACGCTGCGTCGGCGCCTCGTTTTATTTCAGGTCAAGAAGCAGTGTTACAATTTGTACGATGAAAGAAATTGAAAATAAATTTAAGATGAAAAATACATAATCCTTTTGTTGCTTATTTCTGACTTTAAAAACTATAACAGGCAGTCTGCACTAAACCCAGGATTTTAGTCAAGTCTAACTATTATATGTAGAGCACTTAGTACCTATATAAGTAGTATTTATTCTTTAAACTATGAAAATAGTTGCAGAAACTATTTTACTATATTTTTCCACCTTAACCATCTTATTGCATCAATTACATTGCATCTGTAGAACAGTAAAAAAAGTAGAAACACGATTTATACTTCACTCCTAGCATATTTATTCTAACGTACAAAATGTTAGAAGTGATAAGACTAAGAATTGTACGTTTCATTATCTTATGATTATTGATAGATTTTAACATATACCAACTATTCGGGAGTTTCTGAATCTTTATACGCGCATGAAAGGTACGTGATATAATAGAAGAGTCTTGTCTTGCTACGACAATGGAAATTCGTTGTAAGGACGACTCTTTCTTTTTTTGTACTCGAATAATTCAATAAGTGCTGTCACTACTACTTTCTATGAGTAGACAAAGCAAAGAATTTGTTTTTGAGATTAAAAAATACTACTAAATTAAGGCAACAATTCATAAAAAAGTTCCTTGACAATGTTGTTCAAAAGTTTTTAATATATCTTTCATAAAAGATACGTAAGTTTTAAAGTTGTTGACCAAAAAATGGATCAATCAATGGATATGGTCCAAAAACAAAACTAAAACTGGAAGGTTTAATCTTAAATAGTTTAGGACCTTAAAAAAGTAAGTACAGGATGATGATTTAGATTGTAATTGAGATTAACGTAAACAAACAGCCTGCCACATTTACTGCTGATTCGCTTTTTTTTTCTAACCTTGCAGTAGATTTCCAAAAAACCATTTTGACAAGTTTTTATAATGATTATGTTTCGAGATCTTCAAATTAGCACATAATTCATCGAAATGATCAGAATGACATGATGCAAGGAAAATTTTAACTTTTAAAAAATCTCACCAACTTTTGTCGATTGATACCGGTGACGTTACACTTAAGATCATAATTTATGTGTCTATGATGTATCAACATTAATACATGCTACAGACGTTTACAATTGAAAAGTTGGTACTCTCAAGCATATTATGCATTTTTTTCATAATAGTTGAACTGTAAGAATACAACCGAGTTAGTTCCACGTTAATTTCTGGAGCTCGAGCTAAAATTTCGTTTCAATTTTTGAAAAAGTTTTTTTTCTATTCGTAAGCTAGAAGTAATATATTTAAATTACGAAAGCCTAAGTTTTATTGTTTCTCAAGAATCTAATCACATACTATGAGGTATAGTTTTAAGTACATTTTTCTATTCAGCTAAGTATTTTTCTCAGAATTATTATCAGTATTGAAGTCAAATTTCTGTATTTCTCGTTTTTTTTTTTTTTTTTTTCGTGCAAACATGAGAATTCTGACACGTTTATTCGTGTTGTTATAAAAATAGTTGTTTGTTTTTACTGCTTTATTGGTTCGTATGGGCTTACAAATGCTGCACAACACTTTACACAAAGAAAAGGCACGAGGGATAGTCGCTTCGGCGTGTAGTCGTCGTCTACTTCGTCTCGTTCTCTGGTGTGGCATGCCACTGTCCTCACTGAGCCCTCGTACACGAGTGAGCCCCACCGGCCGAGCGCGGTGACGCACGAGGTGGGGAGCCGCGAGAGAGCGCAGCGACCGACGTTGCATGGCAGAGCGCGGGTCCCCGCTCGGTCGGTGAGAAAATCCGAACATCCCACCTGCCTTGATCCAAAAGCGAAACCCTAGTCACCGCCCGCCAAAGCCGGGGGAGTCCCTCGATTGTCTGTCGCAGGGAGGCTAGAGTCCGCAGGTGCCACAGGGAGACACGCAAGCTTGACAATGGGCCGCACGTATTCGCCGGTGGCCGTCTTGACGGCAGCAGCACGGACTAGTCCATCGGATCCAGGATGTATGCGGGTGATACGGCCCAGAGGCCAGCGTCCGCTGGACTGTAGCAGCGTACGGTCAAGAAGAACCACCAGGTCCCCCACCGCGAAGTTCCGACGGACAGCGCTCCATTTCGGCCTCTGTTGGAGAGTATTTAGATACTCACGGCCCCAGCGCGTCCAGAATTGGGCGCAAACGGCCTTGACGAGCTCCCAGTGCGTGAGCGGGTCCAAATTCTCTGCAACGGGGGTAGCTTCGACGATGGAATCGACGGAAGCCCCGATGAGAAAATGTCCAGGCGTGAGCACTTCGAGGTCAGAGGGATCGCCAGACAAGGGCGTCAACGGGCGGCTATTCAACACGGCCTCAATTCCAACGAGAACCGTAGAGAACTCTTCATACGTTAGATGACGAGAACCGAGCACACGGCGTAGATGGCTCTTGGTCGACTTGACCGCGGCCTCCCAGAGTCCTCCAAAATGTGGCGCACCAGGAGGAATGAACTGCCAGGAAACCCCCTGGGAGGCAAGAGTCCCGGCGACTAGGTCCCAGTTAAATTCTGCGCCCTGCAACGCCTCGCGGAGCTCCAAATCAGCTCGACGGAAGCAGGTGGCGTTGACGCTCCAAAGCTCGGATGGTCGGCCTCGACGACCGGTGAAACGGGTGAGAGCACCCAAGAAGTTGGCCGCGGAAAGGTCGCCGACAAGCTCCAGATGCACGGCTTTGGTGGTCATGCACACGAAGACAGCGATGTAGCCCTTTGTGGTCCGGATCCCCCGTCCCTTCGATGTAAGCACGGAGAAGGGCCCGGCGTAATCGACTCCGGTGCGACCAAAAGCGCGAGACGGCGTGACGCGAGACGCGGGCAGCGGAGCCATCAACTGGCTTGAAGAGCGCGCCTGTAACCGGGCACAGATGACGCACCCTCGAATGTAAGCCTTGATTTGGCGTGGCCCACCGAGAATCCAGGCACGCCTGGAGACGTATGCGCTGGTAACGCGATATCTACCGTGGAGGGCACGTGCGTGAGCCCAAGAGACCACGAGTCGAGCGAGTGGCGATGTTCCGCTGAGGATGGGAGGGTGCTTCTCTCCGTAAGACAGCGATGAGTGATCGAGCCGCCCGCCAACACGCAGAAGACCGTCGGCATCGAGGAAGGCGGCAAGAGAGGTCAAAGGGCTCCGTTTCGAAAGACGTTCACGCTTCCACAGGAGTGCAAACTCATCCTCAAACGTCATCGATTGACTCAACCGAACGCAGGCCAGGAAAGCGTCCTGAACCTCAGACGGCGTCAACGGCGAAAGCAAAGAACGGGTGGGCATGCGCTGCAAACGGTGTCGCACCCATTGGCGAACGCGCACGAGGAGGCCCAGTACGGCGTGCAAGCTTGAGAAGAGCTGCAGCAGGTCCGATTCAGGCGCGCGGAAGGCGCAGCAGAGTGAGAGCGTGGGCGTGGGTGGAGGCAGTGTCTCCTGGGGCCAAGACTTGTCGTCCTGGGCCCGTCACGTGGGGCCTCTCCACCACAGGGGCTGCTGTTGGAGGCCACTCATGTCGGCACTTCTGGTGGCTAAGCCGGCCGGATTCGATTGCGACGGCACGTATCGCCAGGCACTGGGTGGCAGGACCTCCTGAATCTGAGCGACGTAGTTATCGACGAGCACGTTGTTGGCCGGCTGATCGGAGCGTATCCAGTGGAGCACAATTTGAGAGTCGCACCGAGCGTGGCAGTGCTCGATCGCGACTCCCAACTCGCTGGCTGCTGAGCAAAGAAGCTTGGCGGCGATGAGGGCCCCTCGCAATTCTAGACGTGGGATGGTCATGCGACTGGCTGGCTCGGTCATCGGCTTGTGCGCGCGGATGGGCGCAAGCTTAGTACGAGCGAGAAGTATGTGGCAGAGAGCGGGCCCATCTGAAGACCGCAGCCACGAATATACAACAGCGGCCATAGCACGGCGACTGGCGTCAGAAAACACGTGCAGCTGGACATTCGACGACGGAGACATACCAATCCAACAAGGCAGAGAAAACTCGGAAATGGCCTGCAGCTCGGCGGTGAAGGCGGTCCAGCGGCGAGTCATGGAGAATGGTACGTTCTCGTCCCAGTCCAAGCGCGCGCGCCACAGGTCTTGCAGTAAAAGCTTGGCGTTCAACACGATCGGGGCAAGCCAGCCGCACGGATCGAACAAGCCTGCGAGAGCGGCGAGCATGGATCTCTTCGTGGTTTGAGATTCGACAACGGGCGGCGTCGAACGGAAGAAATCCGAGGGCGGGTCCCAGCCTACGCCCAGTTCGCTGACGAGGCCTCCAACACTGAGCTGATCCCAAGTAGGACGGAGGCGGACGTCTTCGGGAAGGTCTTCGAGAAGCTCGGGCGTGCTGTCAACCCACTTTCGCAGAGGAAAACCGCCCGCTTGAAGAAGTCCGATCAGCTGGTCGCGCAGACGCTTGGCCGAGCCGATGTCATCAGCGCCGGAGAGGACGTCATCAGCGTAGCGATCGTTCATCACCACCGGGACGGCCTCGGGCCAGCGGCGGCCGTCATCCTCGCACAGCTGCTGTACAACCCGTAGTGACAGGTACGGGGAGCACGAGGCACCGTAGGTAACGGTGAGAAGTTGGTAGTACGTAGGTGGCTGCTTTGGGTTGGAGCTCCACAGAATGCGCTGCAGGTCGACATCGCGTTCATCAATCAGGATCTGGTGGAACATCATGCGAACGTCAGTACAGAACGCAATCCGGTGACGACGCCAACGCAGGAGCTCACTGGGGAGAGCTGTCTGGAGCCGAGGACCAGCATGGAGCACGTCGTTTAGGCTATAGCCACTGGAAGTCGGGCTCGACGCGTTGAAAACAACGCGCAGTTTGCGACCTTGGTCACCGTGCTGCCAAATGCCGTGATGTTGGATATAGTGCACTGGACGGTGCGATGCAGCGAGTTGGTCATCAGTAAGGGGCTTCATATGACCGAGGGCAATGTACTCTGCCATGAACCGGGCGTACTCAGAAGCCGTCTGGGAAGTCCGCTGCAGCCGACGATGCAACGAGCGCAAGCCAGCAGTAGCGCCCTGCAGACTGTCACCAAGGAGGCGCACAGTGTCATGCTTCAGCGGAAGTCGCACAATGTAACGCCCTTCGTCAGCGCGATGATAATCGGCGAAGATTCGCTAGCATTTCACATCTTTGATAAAAAGAAAGTCCTACTTGTATAAGAAAAGTAAAGATAAAACTTTTGGATTTTTCATTGTAAAAATACCTCATTTATAAAAACGTATGGTTATAATTAACTTTACGCACATTTTTATATAATGCTGCCGTACTTACAAATAAACAGTCGAAACAATAAAGTGTATATTTAACTATGAAGATTTGTAGTTTATAGTGTATAGTTGTTCAATCCTTATGTATCTTTAAATATAAAACTGTTTTAACAGTGATAAATATGAAGGACACTACTTGGATATCTTCAATTGTGTGAATCTATTATTAATAAACACATACAGTAAGAACAATCTGTATGTGCCTTCAACTATAGGGCTGCAATATTTGATGATTGTTAGTAAAAACAACCGTCATTTTTTTTTATACAAAAATGTTATACGTACAAATAAATAGAAAAAAAAACCTTTTTGGGTATTTAATTATAAAGCTGTCTTATTTTACAAAAATAGTCAAGACGATATTTGTGTACCTCTAATTGCATTTACTTATTTTCAAAATAGTATTTATCGCCATTAAAGTCTAATTTGTTATTTTTTACCTTGTAGAATCAATAAAGTCCATCAAACTTAATATTAATCATTCCATGAGGTAAATCACCCAAACTACTGTTAAAAAAAATCACCGTTGTGGTTAAAAAGTTTTTCAATTTAGTGATCAAACTAATGAGTAAAAGCCCAAAAACAATAAAGCAAAGAACATTTACTACATCTGGTACATAAAGTGGCGTACATAATTATCGAAAGGAATGAAAGACAAACGGGGCACTCTGAGCAATTGGACACAGTCACGACTAAATAGTCATCCCGAGCCACAGTGCAAAACATCCTTAAAAGTGCACACCGCATCTGCTCGAACAACATCACCAGATGAAGAAGCGGGAAAAGGGTATACGGAGGCAGGCGCCCGCGTTCAAAGTACCATGCAATTGGCCGCGACAGAGCTAATAGGGAAAGGAAGAGCACGAGGCCCCCTGCAGCTGCCAAGCGCGTAAGTTCGATCGAGCGTGCACCACACCGGTGAAAGAAAGCCCGACAAGTGCAGCCATGTCGCTCTCTTCTCTCTTTTTTTTTTTTTTAAAGGGGAGGGGACGAGGAC